GCGCTTCCCGCTGACAGTCGGCATGGTGAATCGGGCCCACCGCGCCTGCGCGGCGGCCGGCTCCGCTCCGCGACCGAGATGCGTAGGACCCGGAGCCTTTCGTGTGGTCTGTCTTCAGTATTGCCAGACTGCTTCGAACAGATTTTTTTTTTTTAACTCTTGGTTTTTGGCATAAGACAATTAAATTGCCATTATACAGATTGTTACATATAGGTATATAGTAAAAACAACTGAAAATATTGGAAAATAGACATAATTGGCTAGAACTAGCTAGGATTTGACAGGCAGTCAAATAGACAGACCTCAGAGGCCCAGATGTCGCTAAGACCAGAGAAGGCCAAACTAGGTGGGCGGGGCGAGGAATCGAACATCCCCACCCCGACCCAACCCCGGGGGGATACTGCGTACTCGGGACCTAAGACTACCTGGAGAGAAGGGTGTGCAAATCGGAATTAGGGTGTCTGTTAACAGATCTCATGTTTTACTTAATTCTTTAATCTCTCTTGTACGCTTATAAATGATGGACTTCTGTTTTAACCTTACAGCTACACCCTAAAGGAGGCGTTGTTAGAAAAAGGTGCAAACAGCCTATTCCCTCCTTTCAAAAGAGGGAATAGGCTATTTACGCAGTGGTCTGTACTATTGGATTATCTGAATGACTCCCAGATGCAATCACGTGTATCCTTATACAGGGAAGGCAGAGGCCCGCCACTGCAGCTCCCACTGGTGAATGTTTGGCAGCCTGAAGCCTCAACATGGCAGCACCTGTAACCCCAGCCACTACCCAGGCTGAGCAAGTAAGCTAGGGAGACTCCGTTATAGAAAAAAAGGGAGAGGGCATAGTGGGAGGGGGACACCAGAACCCACATAGCCAACTATTTGGCTCAAATGTCAGCCTGGGTAGCTTGAAAAACATGAGTGTGCACATGTCGAAAATCCTGACAGAATGGAGAAATTGGAAAAAGGATGGGAGCATGACTGAGACATAGAAAGATGCTTTCTCCTTTTCTCTTGGTGAGTACATCACAGGCCATCTGGCAAAAAAAAAAGTGGAAGCCAAAGGAAGCGATTGTAACCACAGAGAAAGAAATGAATGTGGCAGCAACTAGAAACTGGAAGAGTCAAGAACAGATTCTCCCCTAGCCTTTGGAGCAGCCCTATCATACACTTTGAGGGGACCAGCAGGTGGCATGGTGGTTAAGGCACTGACGCTCCCACTTGGCTGACCACAGTTGGAATCCCGGATCTGGTGATTTGCCTTCTCACTTTCCCTCTCTCTTTCTGTGTCTCTCTCTGGGCAAATTAAAATAAATGAATGAGTAATTAAAATAATGCTTTAACAAAAGATAAATAAATACACTTTGATTTGGACCAAAGAAACTTATTTTGGGTTTCTGGCCTTCAGAACTGTTAGAGTAAATTTTGGTTTTAAGTCAACACATGCATGGTAGGTTGTTTCAGCTGCATGGGAAACTAATACGCTACGGTAGTTACTGTGATTATTTCCATTTTACAGATGGACAAACCAAGCACAGGCTCTGCATCATCCAGGTTGTAGACAGAGCTGAGGTGGTTCTACAGAGGAGTGCTGCCCTTGACCTTTGTGCTGTACATCAAGTGAGGGCCTTCAGCGCCTGCTGGGTGATCAGACTCAACACCTGTGTGGGTTCTTTCTTTTCTTTCTTTCTTTTTTTTTTTTTTTTTTTTTTGGGGGGGTTTTTTCTATCGGGTGCGTGCGCGCTCACCAGACAGACAGAGAGAGACAGAGAGACAGAAAGCAAGAAATCACCCCCCAGGGGGCATGGCCACGCCACAATCCCTTCTCCTCCATTCTCCTCTCGGGGTCTCAGGCACACACGCACACGCGCCTAGCGTGAGTTTAAGCCACCGGGTCCAGGACATGAACCGCGGTCGACTACGTGGAAGTCCAGCGACATAGCCATTATGCTAACTGCTGGTCCCACACCTGTGTGGGTTCTTGTCCTACAGGCCTGAAGAATTAGAGACGAAGACACAGAAGAGAGGAAAGTAGAGTTTATTAGGGAAGGAGAAAGAGCTTTGAATGTAATGGAAGGGGGCCCAAGTGGGTCGCTGAAGAGGGGCTAGAGACAGGGGTTTTATCTAGCAGTCCAAGCAATGGGCTGGCTTTCTGGTTGGGCAGTGGGCTTTAGAAAATGGTTACACGGTAGTCTAAGTGATTTATTACCCTTTTCTTTGTGGGATCAGCAAACCATCGTGTCCTATATACTTCCTTTTAAAATAAGGTTATTAAATACAAACTGTTCCCCTTAGCTACGGCTGCTTTGAATCCCAGTGTGATCACCTTTTGGCTTTGAATACTTAGCCACTGTGACTCCATCTTGGGTCTTTACCTGTCTGTGTGCTCAATATCCCTATCTCCTGCATTATTAGTAAGGAGTCATAAATTTCTTAGAGACATGTAAAAGGGGCATATATTGTACATTCATCAGACCATAGAGAAAAAACAGAGACTTCATTAAAAAGAAAAACATAGTGATTCTCTCTGGGGCCCTTACCTTATCTACCTGTAAGTGGGTCTAACTCCTAACTCAACATGAGGGAGCAGAAGCTGGGCTGGAATTAGCCGACCTTGTCAAGCCATCTTTTATCACGTTAACATCCCTCTGTACTGCAGGTCTTCCTAGTAACCAACACAGTAGACTGGCAGTACCTCATGAATGACAAATATCCCCAAAGCCAAAAACAGTTTTCAGGGGATAATTATGCACACACTAGAAAATTATTGTAAGGATCAGAAATAATGTTCATAAATAGCTAGTGTAGTACTTAAAAAATTATTTTAAATTTTATTTATTATCATTATTTTTCAATTTTGACCATAGAGAGACAGAAAGGGAGAGTGAGAAAGCAAGCTACCAGGTTCTGGATTTGAACCATGGTTGGCCATGTGGGAATGCAGCACCTCAACCATCACGCCACTTGCTGGCCCACTAGTGTAGTTCTTACCATGTCATAGATCTTGGTAATAAGACAGCTGTCATGACTGTTATTATCCTTCTAGTTAATTTCTTGCTACTCTCAGACTACCAAGAGGCATTCTGTTCCCACCTTCCACATCCCCTAACTCATCCATCCTGCTTTAGAGAGAAAGAGAGACAGAGAGAGAGAGAGATTGGCACTGTAGCATAGTGGTTAAGGGAAATGGATCTTACATGCCAACTGCAGTTCAAGTCCTGACCTTGGCAGCTTGAGAAACACACCAGGTACCTGTGCACATGTGCCCAAAATCCTGACAGGAAGAGGAATGGCGGATAAAAGGATTGCAGCATAACCATGCTGCACTGGGAGGAGGTCTTTTCTCTTTCTATCCCCCTGCCTTGTGTTTGTTTCTTTCATAAAAGAGAGACAAGGACTCTGAGAGAAGCAGGGTCTTCCCATGCTGCAATCTTTCCTCCAGTCTCCCATCAGCCAGGGTCACAGGTGCACCCAGCATGTTAAGATAAACCCAGGATTCAAACCCCAGGCCTCCCCATATGGCTCCAGCATCATGCAGCAGCACCCTATCCCTGTGCCCCATGACTGGGCTCATCCTGGCATGAATAGGTACTTTCCACCTTCTCTGTGACTAGCTAAATTGTTAGACGATTCTAATGGAAAAAAGCAAGCTAGGCCATGAGTGAGCATCACAACTGTCATTAGCGGACTGATTGGAAAGATAGTTGGAAAACGTTGAGATCATGTCACACAATGTACAGAAGTGCTTCTTTTACTTAATTTTTTTTTTTTGGAGAGGTTTTCGCTATAGGGCACGTGCACTCGCCAGACAGACAGAGAGACAGAAAGCGAGAAATCACCCCCCAGGGGGGATGGTCACGCCGCAATCCCTTCTCCTCCATTCTCTTCTCGGGATCCTGGGCACGCATGCACACGTGCCCAGCGTGAGTTCCAAGTCACCGGGTCCGGGACGCAAACCACGGTCGACTGTGGGAGTCCAGAGACATAGCCATTACGCTAACTGCTGGTTCCCTTTTACTTAATTTTAGGATCAGCCTAAGAGTAGGAATTTCGAAGAAATAAAAGGTAGGCTGAGCAATAAACAGCAAAAAATAATGTACAATCTTGTCTTTTTAAAAAAAAGTTTATTGTTTTGTTTTGTTTTTTTTTCATGAACAAGAAAGACAGAGAAATAGGCACCCCTAATATGGTACCCCTGCCACAATCCACGCCTGGTCTCAGCTCAGATCACAGGCTTGCACACTTGCCTGACATGCTTAGGGAGGTCCCACGTAGAAAAACCAGAACCTGTCTCATGTGGGTCCGGCCACATATGCCTATGCCGTAGCCTGGCCCTGATTATTTTGTTTTTAAAGATGCATGTATGTATGTATGAGTGCGAACAAAAAATAAACAGCCAGCATACTATATATGAAAGTGTGAGATTATCGTCTTTCCTGGACCTTTTCTATTTTACAGAATTGTAATGAACAGACTTTACTCCTACTATAACCAAAAGCAAAAACAAAAATGTACCAACGGGTGGCACAATGGTGAAGACAGCTGGATCCCACCTGGCTGACCACGTGGTTTGAGTCCCAGACCCAGTGGCTTGAGAAACAAACAGCATGTGCGTGTGTGAATGGCCAAACTCCCAAGAGGAGAACGGAGGAGGAGGGACTGTGGCATGGCCATGACCCCCAGGTGGGTGGATGTGAGTGGGGGTGCTTCCTCACTGTATTTCTCTCTCTCTCTCTCTCTCTCTCTCTCTCTCTGTCTCTCTCTTGTAGGTTCATGGGCCCAGAACAAATTAGAAAAGAAAAAAAGAGTTATTACAAAATCACAATTATGTTCTTTTCCCACTTTATTAGAGATAAGTAGGTCCCTCCAGTTCTTTCATTGAAGTCTATTACCTGCATTGACAGCTCTGCCTCACAGTCTGGGAGATAACAGCTCAAGTGTTACTAAACTTAATACCAGAGAGAATTTACAGTCTCAGATCACTGAGGGAGTTACCTTAGTGCAATTACCTAATATACAAATGGCACTTCGCATGTTCCGATTGTTTGCACATACTTTATCCTCACCACCATCTGATGAGGTACTATCTCTACGGATGAGGAAACTGAGGCCGGGAGTGAGCGACGCTTGTGTTTGGAGAGGAAGGCAGTACACGACATCAGCATGTCACTGAAACTATCTGCTGCTCTCCTTTAAGATGTCATCTGGGGACCAGCAGGTGGCATAATGATTACATTGCTGGACTCCCGCATGGTTGACTGTGGTTCCAGTTCCGGATCCAGCCGCTTACCACTCACACCAGCTTCATCTGTTCTCCTCTCCAAGGTCCTGAGAGGAGAACAGAGGAGAAGTGATTGTGACACAGCCATCCCCTCAGAGGGTGATTTCTTGCTTTCTGTCTCTGTCTCTCTGTCTCTCACACAAGCATACATGCCTTATAGCAAAAAAAAATCTCTCTTCAAAAACAATGAAAAAAATAATAAAATATCATCTGACAGCATACTACATTTTAGAACCTAAGTTGGTCAGTACTACTTCCTAATTGTCACCCAAATCTTCAGCCCTTCAGCATGTCTTTCCCGGTTGCTGTTCAGCCCACAAGCATTCCAGGACAGTGACGCAGTCATGTCAGAAACTTTCTCTGTGGGTTTTTTGTGTTTTAGAGGCAAAAACAATCAGCTTGTGCAGGCTCCAATCCTGTCTGATGACGAAATAACTGTTGTTACAAAATCCTGAGAGAAGGGGGCCAGCAAGTGGCATGGTGGTTGAGGCACTGTACTCCCATGTGGTGACAGTGGTTCAAGTCTCAGACCTGGCCACTTGAAACTTATGCTGGGCACAGGTGCATGTGTGCCCAAAATCCTGAGAGGAAAATGGAGGAGAAAGGATTGCAGTATGGACATCCCCCCTGGGGGATGATTTGTCACCGTCTTGCACGCACCCTAAATCTCTCTCTCAAAAATTCCAAAAATCTCTCTCAAAAAAATTCTTTCTTTTTTTTTTTTGGAGAGATTTTCACTATAGGGCGTGTGCGCTCGCCAGACAGACAGAGAGAGACATAGAGACAGAAAGCGAGAAATCACCCCCCGGGGGGGATGGTCACGCAGCAATCCCTTCTCCTCCATTCTCCTCTCGGGATCTCGGGCACGCACGCACACGCGCCCGGCATGAGTTTTAAGCCACCAGGTCCGGAACACGAACCGCGGTCGACTACGTGGGAGTCCAGCGACATAGCCATTACGCTAACTGCTGGTTCCCTCAAAAAAATTCTGAGAGAAGAATAAAGTGCAGGATGCCATCCCCCCAGGGGATTCTCACTCACTCTCTCTACCCCCAAGCAAGTCCATGTGCCCTATAGCAAATTGAAAAGGTAATAATAATAATAAAATAAAGAATTGTTATAAAGACCCACTACATTTTCATTTCTCTCTTTTTTCCCCTTTTTTTCTTTTTCCTTCCTTCCTTCCTTCCTTCCTTCCTTCCTTCCTTCCTTCCTTCCTTCCTTTCTCTCTCTCTTTCTTTCTTTCTCTTTCTTCCTTTCCTTCTTTCCTGCCAGAGGATGTGTGTACTCACTAGAGAGACAGAGGGAGAGGGAGAAAGCACCCTCCCATATGGGTTATTACTATAACCGGCCTTGTTTTCACTTCCTGTGTATCTAAAATTGGTTCTGTAGTAGCTAAAATTATAAATTTCCTGGGGCACTCTAATCCTTCTGTAGATTACCCTTGAAGTTGGGACATGGCCAAAGTCTATTTATCTTCTTGAGTTTTCTATTGATAGATTCATCTGGATCCAAGAAGGTCTGGTAGACCTGCCAAAATCAGGTTGGTAGTACTACTTCCTGTCACACAAATCTTCATTTTAAATTGTATTTTAGTATTTTCTTTAATTAAAAATTGCCAGAGAGCATATGTGCTTGCCAGAGTGAGAGAGAGAGAACACACCCAATGAGCTACAGTTATGCCACAATCCCTTCTCCTCAGTTGCTGCATGCTGTCAGGATTTGGGGTATGCACACACATGCATCCTGTGTTTTTCAAGCTGCAGGAGTGCAAGATGTGTGTGCACACAGTTAGCCATGTGGAATCTGGCTCCTTTAACCACTAGGCCATGGGACCGGCCCTTAATTGTATTTTTAAAATTAATTAATTGGGACCAGCAGTTAGCGTAATGGCTATATCACTGGACTCCCATGTAGTCGACCGCGGTTCAAGTCCCAGACCCGGTAGCTTAAAACTCATGCCGGGCAGGTGTGTGTGTGTGTGCATGCCCAAGATCCTGAAAGAAGAACAGAGGAGAGGGGATTGCGGCGTGGCCATCCCCCCGGGGGGTGATTTCTCACTTTCTGTCTCTCTGTCTATCTCTGTCTGTTTGGTGAGCGCATGCGCCCTATAGCAAAAAAAAATAATAATAAAAATAAATAAATAAATAAATAAATAAATAAAATTAGGTATTTTATATTATTGAGCATTCCCTCATTCTTGAAATTCTCCTTTCTTCATCTTTCTGACTCCAGATTTCCATCTGGCTCCTTGGGATTGTCTACTGTCACAGCATGAGAGGCAACACAACAGTGTTAAGAGTTCCGGAAGCCCACTTTGGTGCATGCCAAAGGCTGCACCTTTCAGGTTTGCAGATTAATACCAAGGCATTGTCTCCTTAAGTACAAAAAGGAAGAGGGCTACACAGTCAGGCAGTGGTCGTGCAACAGTCTGCTGAGCTGCCCCATGGGGGAAGGTTCTGGGCTGGCCTCAGAGAACTCCCAGAACAAGCCAGGCAGGTGTGTGCCTATACTTTGGGGCTGGCTGAGGCTGCAGGCGGTTCTTGGCATAAGCCCTGTTGGAGATGCTCTCACTCTCTTTCTCGTTCATGGAAGGAAGAGAAAAAAGGAGTTCCATAAAGTAGTCACGGATTAAAGTCCTGGATCAGGACCAGCAGTTGGCATAATGGCTATGTCGCTGGACTTCCATGTAGTCAGCCATGCCTCAAGTCCTGAATCCGGTGGCTTTAACTCACTCCGGGCGCGTGTGTGTGTGTGCGCGTGTCCAAGATCCCGAAAGGAGAATAGAGGAGAAGGGATTGCGGCGTGGCCATCCCCCCGGGGGGGGAGGATGATTTCTCACTTTCTGTCTCTCTGTCTCTGTCTTTCTGGTGAGCACACATGCCCTATAGCAAAAACCTCTCAAAAAAAAAAAAAAAGAAAAAAGAAAAAGAAAAAAAGAAATAAAGTCTGGGTCTACTGCTTACTAACTAAAAACTTGGGACATGATGGTTAGGATGGCTGGATTCTATATAGCTTAGTGCATGGTTCAAGTGTCAGACCTGACCACTGGGCACATACGTGGGCATACCCAAAATATAGACAGGAAGGAGAAATGGAAGAAAAGGGATTATGGTGGGACCACACCATCATGTGGAGATGCTTTCTTAATTTTTTTCTCTCTGTCTCTCTCTGATGAGTGCATATGCCCCTTAGTAAGTTTAAAAAAAAAAAGAACTTGGACCAATTACTGAACACTGATCAGCCTATGTTCCTCATCTATAATATGAAGGTAGTAGTAATAATAATGATAAAAATGCCTATCTCATAGGTATACCATAGGATGATTGTGCCAGTTTTAAAGAAATATTAGGATGGGACCAGCAGTTAGCGTAACGACTATGTCGCTGGACTCCCACATAGTCGACCGCGGTTCAAGTCCCGGATCTGGCGGCTTAAACTCATGCCGGGCGCGTGTGCGTGCGTGCCCAAGATCCCAAGAGGAAAATGGAGGAGAAGGGATTGCGACGTGGTCATCCCCCCAGGGGATGTCTCTGTCTCTGTCTCTCTCTGTCTTTGGCGAGTGCACATGCCCTATAGCAAAAACCTCTCCAAAAAAAAAAAAAGAAATATTAGGTTGGTGAAAAGAGAATTGCAGCTTTGTATTGTTGAAATTTGCCATTTGATATTGGCTACATTCTTAAATAAATGTGGTTATATTAATACATCATTTTAATGCACATTTTTCTGTTTACTTTTGCTAATATCATTATTGGCTGTTTATTTTCTATGTATTTTAGACTATGAAATGATATTACACAACAAGCAAATTCGAGAGATTTTATTATTCGAGTTCAGAATGGGTTGTAGGCAGCAGAGACAACTCACAACATCAACAATGCATTTGGCCCAGAAACAGCTAATGAACATACAAAGCAATGGTGGTTCAAGAAGTTTTGCAAAGGAGGGAACCAGCAGTTAGCGTAATGGCTATGTCACTGGACTCCCACGTAGTCGACCACGGTTCTCGTCCTGGACCCGGTGGCTTAAAACTCACGCCAGGCGCATGTGCGTGTGTGCCCAAGATCCCAAGAGGAGAATGGAGAAGGGATTGCGGCTTGGCCATCCCCCCTGGGGGGTGATTTCTCGCTTTCTGTCTCTCTGTCTCTCTCTGTCTGGCGAGCGGACGCACCCTATAGCGAAAAACCTCTCAAAAATAAAATAAAATAAAAAAGAAAGGAGACGAGAGCCTTGAATATGAATCGTGTAGTAGCTGGCCATCAGAAGGTGACAAGGACAAAT